CTTCTAAAGTACCTAAAGTTTTGGGATTGACTGTATAACCGTCCTTAAAGTATCGCAAATCGTCAGAGGGTTGAACGGAGACGTACTTGAATTTTGATTCTGTAAAAAGTATCGGAAGGAAGGGAAGCGAATACCCGAGTCGCGTCGCGGGGCACACAAGGGGAGAAAAAAATGTTCGGAGCCGAAGGTCTCCTGATGAGAGGGACGTCGGCCGTCGACCTCGCCGCGGAGAGCTGGAGGTTTACACGCCTAATAAATTACTGTAAACTGGAGTCCGGAGTCTAAGCCGAGGGTTTGCACGAATAGTAGTTAAGTGAGCCGGTGATTTGTGCGATATCGTCCATCGTCGCTATCAGTCCCTGGAATCGGATGCACGGTTGAATCTTCCCCTAGTAATTTTATCCCGGTTGAAGGTTCAAGTTCCCTCGGACGTAGATTCCATTTCTCCCTTACTACCGATTCCAACCGGGATTCGCAACAATAGTCGTCTAAGGAAGGCTCGAGTGAAAGCTCCAACTAGTTCATCACTTTTAGTGTTTGTCGGACAGAACCTAGCACTCTGCATTACAGGGAAACCCTATTGACAAAACTTGTGTCACGTGTACTTGTGGTAGATAAAACGTTCCCGAAGGCATCGAGTCAGAAATGATTTATCACGTTAACACGTTGAAATTCTTATTTACTCAGATAATAGTATCTTATAAAAAGGTAATAGGCGCTAATCAGGATCGGGGTTACGAAGAAAGTTTATTGCTTTGGTGGTGTCATAAAACGACGAAGAATGTAGTCAAGATGTAAACCTGACATGTAGCTTTACGGTTATAAAACGGGAAGTCTTATAAAACAATTAAAAGTTGTTATATGCGAGTTCTGCCGTAACGTACTAGTTTACGTTTAAATTTTACTGCTAGTTTATGAAGCTTAGTCGAAAGTATACCATTTCGTATATCGCGTCGTTTCAGTTTCGTCCGACAGCCTCGACTTTGTAATCGGACGTGAGTCGGATTTTAATATTACCGAAGATATTCCTCTGCGGATTTCTGCTTTAAAGATTTATTAAACAAACGGAATCCTTTAAGCGTCGATGTCGCGAGGCGCACGCGAGGGCAAAAAGATGAAAAAAAATAAGAGAACGCGCAAGAAATAATCCAGGACGGGGAGCATGCACTCGCGCTCGCCATAAATCATCGTAATCAGCTTACGACAGCTCGCAAAAAGCGGCGAAGATTTTTCTCTACTTTTTCCAAAGAAATGAAGACATTCTTCAAACACAGTAAAAAGATCACCAGAACGGTGTGTGTCCGTGCAGAGAGAGACGAGAGTGGAGATATCTTATGAAATTGTAATACACTTTTGATCAACAAAGAAGAGGATTGATTTTAATTTCAATGGACCGTAAAAACGACCGTCTGTTTACGTCCTACGAGTTGAGTTATTATCTACGCAGGAGGCCACGACAGGTGTGTAAATCCTGTTGCTGGCTTTTAACTCAAACCTAATCTTTTAGTTAAATACTATAGTGATTGGCAGGGGTGAAAAACTCGCTTGGAAATGCACCGTACGTGTAACGAAGCTCACTGAAAAACACGTTCCAATGTAAGAGATACCTTGGTCTATCATTAAACGTGAAGAATTGCTACTTGGAAACGTCGTTAAACGGCGTACAGTTACCTATTTGCATAATGCCATTTTTGACTTGTTCGAAACGAACTGGTAACCAATTTCCATCGAGTTATTTTTATATAAAACAAATCATTTGTGATATCAGATTCGACAGATGAGATTCAGATTGATTAGAAGAAAATTCTGTTCTGCACGTATTCTTTGTACTTTGTAATCAAGGATACCTCGTATCGTATGAAGAACGTTAATTTAGAAAATTGATTCATAGTGATTTAGTGGCAAGAAATTGTGCAGGTCAGTAGCGCTAGGCTGGTTGTAATTCGATTGAATCGGATCGTTGCGTTGGAACACGATCGCGCATTTCATGCACGTGCGTCGGACAAATGGGATTTAAGCTGGGTGACGAAAGTGTCTGCTCGGAACGGAACCGATCGCGCTGGTTGAATTCCACGATGACGCAGAAGGAAAAGTGGCCGGTGGAACAGTTACCCGGGTAGCTCCAGCCACCTTGGGCACCTGAGAATTTCTTGTTCGACGCGAATCACAAAGAATCAGGCCTTGATTGACCTGATCGGTTCGCCTAATCAAGACACCTACAGGGAACTCGATTTTGAAAATATCCATTGAATCTTCATCGAAGAGATCTGTCGATACGAAACCCACTGAGGGTTCATTGGAATATCAATTTAAATGTTTTTCACCTAATCCTCTGCGTTGTTCTAAGAGACGTTTATCTTAGAAGCGATAAGATACTTGGGAAATTACATTGCGAATTTCTTTCTATTATTGGGCCGAGACAAAGCTGAGGGAAGAATGGAACTACGGTTGTCACGTGGGCACGGGTCAAGTTTTTATCGCACTCGCGAAAGACTCATCGTGAATCGTGCCGCACTTGTAGCGAATTCGTAGGCGTTAAATAATGTTTCCTTCGCCAATTTACTGTTAGTGCTTGTTCGATATAATCCGCGTTCGCGCACGAAGAACCGCGTACATATTTACGAGCCGGCTGTAAACGCTTAGCCTCGCGTTATTCCCGCACGATAAATTGGAGCACGCCAATTTGTCTTGTCACCGGGCGATCATTCTTATTTATTCTGCAAAACAAATTAACGAGATCAATCGTCCGATCGGTCGTTTACCGCAAATTAGCATCGCCATTACTAAATTCAATTCTAATATTAGCGCTCGGATTGCATAATCTCGTGTTACAAGACAAATGTTACGAACGTAACAACTTTTCATTAATGAACCGTCTTACGTTTCCTATTACGCATACATCAACGTCGATCCGAAAGGTCAGCGTAGACCGAACGATTATTTAAACAACGCTGGACAATGATTCATTCATGGTTTCGTACGTGGGACGCGCGTCAATAGTAAAAGTATCGCAATCGAATTTTTCATCGATGAATCAACGGTTTACCGTGCATAACACGAAATTCGTAACAGGTTTTTTCACGCATTGACGTCACACTGATTGCAACCTTCCGTCGTCGACGGGTTAATCCGTTAGGCGTTGCTCCGACGCTGTCGCAATTTATGAGTAACAAGCTGATCCCACTCGTCATCAGACTCGACGAGTTCGAGGACGTTCTCATTCAGACTCGCATAGTAAAATGTTTTCGATCAATGCGTTTTACGATATATGCATTTTGGCGAGAGACAGAGAATCTGCATCAGTTTTCCGCGAAACCAGGTGTCGTTAGAGGGACAGCGGTCTCGCGATTCGCTCAGCTCTATCCAAACTAATAGGTTCGCGTTACTTGGGTTTATCGTGCCATAATTTTCACGTCCAAGGACCAATATACGTGAAAGGGCCTCGATATCTGTAGGTCGGCGTTCGCCACTTGGTGCTCGCGAGGTGTTTTACGATTCAAAAGCAAAAGGGGACAGGCTCTCCGATAGGCAACCTGGTTCTCGCCGAGGGAGCATTAGCATCCTTGTTGAAAACGCGAGGCGTACTGTAGTATAACCTGTTCCAGTGATCTAAGCTGGTTATCACAACCGTTCCCGTTCGCTTTTGCCGGGCATAATTTACGTTTTCCTGAAAAGCCCGGATACAGGCCGTATTAAAAGCTAACCGATTATGGTTCACTGTCAATTATAAACCGACGCTGTTATTTCTTCTTACTATTCAATTTCTGATTCAACAGGTTTCGTAACGTTCGATACGATCAGTTTTTTAAATTAAAAATTGAAATAGCATTCGTATGTATCTCGATTCTATTATAATTGCAAGGTGATGTTTGATTGCTAGTTATCCTAAACAGGCGAACCAGGTCAAAGACGGATCACATATTAAATCGATTGGATCGAGTGCATGATGAAATCGATTGAACCGATGCATATAAATATTTGTTAACGGAACACGACGAACAATACTCGAAGAGCACTCCGTGTACATTTAAGATAATCTATGTTCGCTTCGATTTACCTGGGTAACCCTCTGGGATGACAATTTCCGGTCCCACCTTGACGTCGTGTCGATAGCGGTGTATCAGCAGGGTCGCGGTGACTCGAAGCGATTTCTGTTGCTGTTTGTAAAGCAACACGGGCCTGCCGCCGGTACCTTCGAGTCTGACCACTCTCGGTAACGAGAACCGATCGAGGAACTCTCGAAGAGGCATGTAGCCACCGCTGGAACCGGAACTACCCTCCGCCGTCGCCTCCCTCGAACTGGGCAGCGACTTCGGCAACGACGGCTCCTCGCTGGACATGGTCGAAAATTCACCGTTCGACGACATTGTCCCACGCGAAATATCCTCTTTATTATCACGAATCTCGTCGAAATTGCGCACTGATTGATCGTTTCGTTTCTCGTCGATCGACGACGCGATCGAGCATCGTTAACGATTAAAAGAAATTTGCGAGGTAGCTTTGAGACGTTTCTTGAGAACTTTCGAGAGCGGCACGGCGTCGAATCTCGGCCATGCCAGAACGAATCCCGCGTTCGACAGCATCTTTCGTTTTCATTACCAGGAAAACGGAAATTGGCTGGCAATTAGCGTCGAGCCTAGCCACTTTCTTCGGTTATGCCACTGTCCGACCGCCACTGTCACTTTCCACTGCTCACACCGCCTGGGATCAGCCGGCCGAGACGTTTCAGAATCGATTTCGATCAAATCTGAGATTCATTCACTGAACACCAACTGTTACCCCGGGAGCAACAGCGCAGTGAGGTAGATCGGCCGTTCTTGCGAAACTCGAATCCCTCGCGTTACGAATCGCGCTCAGCACCGTGGAAATTCTCTCCTACGTGTCCTTCGCGAACGTTGCCCGCACCTCATCTCTTCCTCTTCGGTAGAAAACGTTGCGTCATCCTTCCAAACAGCTGATCGTGGACCGGTTTCACGATTTCCTTCCAACATTCCGGATCAGGATATCACGCGAATCCCGATCCATTTGCAAAAACACCCTTGAGAAATCACCGATCCTTCCTTCTTTCATTCAGTTATATCCAATCCCCATTGACTCTTAAGTCGTTCAGATTTTTCTGCCTCTCGAGATTTCACGTTTCTTCATCTTTGAGTTTAATCCTCATCCAGATTGTTTTCTATGAGAATCATCGTAAGCACAAAATGAGAAGAAATTTATCTGAGAAACTCGAATGCTCCCTCGATCGATACACGATAAAGATACGATTTCACTGTCGTTCGGATACAAAGTCACAGACGGAAGACAGGCACAGTGAAGGTAGAAGAAGAAGTGATCGAGCCGGCGGACGCCAAGTCACTGACGCCCGGCGTGACTGGGGCCCAGCGTAAGAGGCCCACTGACACTAACACGTAGCCAACTGGTCGTATCGTTCCGCCTCTACTACACGCAGGCTGTCAGTGGCCGTACTACCAGGGCCCAGGCGAGCGAACTTGGCCTGGAGTCCTCCTGGCTAACAGAATACGCTTGCCTTAGAGGAGACGTGGGCTTATTCAATAGGGGTCCTATTGTGTTGACGTTCAAACTGTTGACCGGTCTACAGAAGCGAACCGCCCTTAATAGTTTTCTCTGGAAACGTAATCGGGTGTGGTAACTAAAGTTGTGTACGCGTCTCTGGTTACGAGCACCGATGCTTTGACAGGGTACAAGCCAGCCGATGCTACTCCCTGACGCTGAATTAGCTTTGGCATAATACCAGTCTTGTACGGTAGAAGCTGAACCTAGCTAATGTTAATTGAAATTCAAGTATTGTCTGAATCATTTTTATTGTATCCTCGCGTCTTTTAATACTGTGTCATCGTTGCAATAACTGCGTCCTTATCTCGACGGAACGCCTTAAGAAGCAGTGTGCTCTGAAAGAGGATTAAAAGTGGACGTCTAAAATAAAAGTTTACGTCCGACCCGTACTCGTAATACCTCGCCTTATACAGTTATCTCCGGTACTAAAGGCTGATGGTACACGGTTGACCTCGCGAAATGTATATTTAATTATATCATTTTATTCGCCTCGTCGTCCGCGATAATAAAAATCGCGATGGTTCCTGGGAATGTTGGAAAGTGGAACGACCTTGAATTTCATTGTCGGATACGAATCTCCCTCGTTGCATCACGCAGTCACTGATACCGAGTTCGCACGCTCGTTTATAACGTTCTTCTTTAGTTTTTCCTACTCCCTCCTACAGGGAATCGTACGCTTTTGTTCGCCGATTGCACACACTCCTGACGTGTAACGACAACGTACGGTACACGAGATCGTTGCCACATCCAGGGACGAGGTATCCTGTGTACACCTACGTTCAGAAGTCGTATAACGTTTCCATGCACTCATCGTTAAAAGTCTGACAATTATTCAAATCGCATAGAGGCAACCGTGTAATAAATCATACATCAATGCTCGTTCAAAATCGTAGTAATAGTTTCAATAAAATTGTGCTTCAAACAAGAATGTATAAACAATTTTTCATACTAACGGAGAACGAGTATTATTTATTAATTAAAATATCAAAAATTTTATGTCGTTCGTTTATGTTCTTAAAATATCTCGTTCAGTCATGCATTTTACGACACGTACAAGACTTATGAAAGGGGATGTACGCGTGCTGCTTGACAGACAGGAAGGAAATTGTAATGCCGAGATAAGAGTTGTGTAACAGGAGCATTAGCGGGCTGTTGTCACATCCACGCGAATTTATGAATTCTCTGATTGAACAATTCACATGCTGTCGAGTGTAGATCTCGGCTGTTTCGCAATAGGGTGTTGGCAGATCTTTGCCGTGGATTGTGTTATAAACAAAGTGTCCTCGGTTGGGAAAGAGTACAAAAGGTCCCAGCGAAATGGTACCAAGGCGCTTCTTTCGCCTTTTTACAATCTCGGGTGACATCACGCGACGGGCTATAAACTACGTATTTCAAGTATTTAACGCTGTCGATCCAAATTTGGTAAAACGTCGAGTGCTCTCAGTGCTGATTGCGCAATCTTTTATTTAGAGTGAATAGCAAACCGTGCGGGGCATTAATAATGACAGAAATTTGTTTCGAACATCGAAACAATTCTTGGTATTATAGATCGTCGATTACAACTATTGCATTTCTAGCGATTGTTCGTGTATATCATTGAAGCTGTAAGTGTGCAACAGCCGAAGCGCCGAGGCAGTCGAGCTGATAAACATTTACGACTAGCGAGCCGCTGGCGTCCTTATCCTCGAAATACATTATAGCAGCATTTATTCGGCCGTTACATTTCTTTATGGCTTGTTGAACAAGCTTCCCTGGGTGTACCGGAGAAATCTGGACCATATACAGGTCGCTGTATCAAAGTAGGGATAATACAGGGTTCCAAGTGGTCTTTCGTACCATCTTCCATTACCAAACAAGGTCTAAAAAAAAATACCAAATGGGTTCTGTATCGAAAATCTAATTCATGGACGCTCTATGCGATATTTCCATGGACCAGGTTACTCTAGATCTATTTAATATCATTGATTGTGAGACCTAATGTATGACTGCTCTACCGAAATTTAAATTGATAATCCTGGTGCAGCTAGTGAATATCGTCGCATCCTCTTTTTGCAACACGTGGAAATAAGCGAGCACCTGCTAACGGTTGAAATATTACGGAACCTAGGAACTGTAGATAGAGATCCGCGGTGACGGCGGCTAACGCTCGCCTAGTACGTGAAACGCGGGGTTTATTAATACCGTCGGTAGCGATGTCTCGGTCCATTTAATTCTATATTTACCGCAGTCGCGTTTAGTGGGTATACGCGTGATAGCGACTAATCTGTGGAAAGGATCAGTCAAGGCGAGCCGGAGGGTCCATCGCGATCGCGCACCGCGGCGGCGGCGGCGGCGGCGGCGATCTTCCCACGGTGTTGGCTGTGGCGTGTCGGCCCGCGAGGAAAAGAAAACGAGCCGAGAGTGGCGGCGAGCGCGCGTAGCCTTGCAAGGACAAGGACGCCATTTTCGATGTAAGCGCGCAAACAATTATTATTACCCGGCGGTGGTTGCCCAGGGTGTGGCGGTGTTTCTCCCGGCGAAGACAAAGCTGAATGCGATCCAGTCACGAGTGCTGCAGGTAGAAAGATGGAAAGTGGCGTGATGATGCAGAATGCGCGATTCAACACTTTTATGGGATTCAAGGTCGGCAATCGTAATAGAGTGCAACAATTATTTCACGCGTTTGTCCCTTCCTGCAGTTCGTTCAAATGGAAACTGTGGGTTCTATCAATTTCTTCCTCCGATAGCTCGGCGATCTGAGCTACGAACATTCTTTCGGCTCAGGGTCCGCGTTTCGCGCCGATTTGTTTCTAATCGAGATTTCATCTTGTCGGATACAGGAATATTGATTGAAAACATGGGAATACAGAATTATGATAGCCGAGTCCAAAACCGCATTTGATTCGTAAGGAAGTTGGAATCGAGAGATTGATGTTTATGATAAATTAGATGGGAATTACAGTTAGCCGGTTAATTAGTCGGTGGCAGTTTCATTGAAACGCACATCGGAGCGGCACGGTTAAGGGCAACGTTATTCGGTCACCGGTGTCAACGATCCGATATCAGATCGATCGGTTCACGATTCACGCCGGGAATGGCACGGCACCGGCAGCCAATTAGGACGCACGCGCTTCGCATTTTTCGTTCACCGTTTTCATATCAAATAAATGTGCTAACTAACCAATTACAGGCCGCGGGGACCGTTCTGCTCATTAGTGTCACGCCAAAGTGCCAACCGCACCCTTTCGCGCGCGAGTAACGATGACGACTTGCCTTTATATCAGATCAGATTCTTTGCACCAATAAAAATTGTTTCACATAACTAATCGTAAGTCGGCGCTGAAAAATGTTTCAGTTCCCAATTTTTTCATACTCATAACGCGCCTTAAATGTGCAGGGAATATAAATAATGAAATGTCAAAAGCTGCATATATGTCTTTTAAATCGATATCCCGAATGCTTTAGTTTGCTTGAAAATACTCAGTCTTATATAATAAATATGAAGCGGAGTAGATCGTGTGATCGTCCTCTGTGACTCGCTGAACATAGTAAGGAGCGTAGGAATTCGTGTCTGAGGTTAACCCCGGCTTACCGGGAATCTCATCCTTGCTCATCGACTTTATACCGAGAACTTCTTCGATTTAATTGGACCTTGCGCCAAGGCCATATCGATTTCTCTTCTCGGATTTCGTTTAGCATGAAAAAAGAGCGTGCGCAGGCAAGTGGAAAACGGCGAGGGGAAACCATTAATGGGTTTTGAAAAGGAAAAATTTCTTCGGTTATTATCCAACAGTTAATTGGTAATGACGCTAATTATTGGTATTAACGGCAGTACAGGCTATATATAAACGATTAAAGATACGTTTTGGATTAATTAAAAGCATCGAGTACCCTTTATACACTTTTTATTGTATGAACATTGTCAAATTCTACGTGAAGATCCACGGTTTGTTGAAAAAGTGAATCTACAGTCGATAAGTACTCGATTAAAGTTCCAGGTTTCACTTTCAATTTCGTAATCGGCAATTGTGCCTCGTATAAAACCACATTAATATAGGAATCGCTGTTGAACACGTACAGAGCCTGTTCGAGGGCTATTAAAGCTTCATTAGAACTTGAAGAACGCTGGGTATCGAACGCGGACTAGCTGCTCTTTTGTTTTATAAACATCTTCCATTAGTAACAAAGTTAAGCGCAGTGGTTCAAGGATATTAACGACCACGAAGTTTATCAAAATTAATTGACCAATATGTACTTTAAAAATTGCAATAAGAAACACAGGATCAGTTAAATGAAATATATTTGAGTAATAATATTCACATAATGCAGTTTAATATTTCTTACAATTTTTTATATACACATAAACTTTGGAGACGGTATTTTGCGCGTGTTAGAAATGGGTTTATGTGGTTGAAGTAGCCGGGAAACAGAAGCAGAATCGCTTATAGCCATTACTACTCATGAACCTTGCTTACCTGCAGATGTAATTGCAAGGTACTTGGTATTTTTATCGTCTCCACCGGCACTTTAACCGAACCAACACTCTTCATCTTATTGTTGTCTGGTATTCTCGCCTTTATGGTGAAGAAAAAAGATGAACGGCCGGGTGAAGGTACGAACACTTTTAAGAATTTCAAATGGGAATGGACAAAGGGCAATATACATACGTCTGAGGTTGCCTGTTTTTCATCGTCTGCGGCTGTCAATTGGCCGTGGGCTGTTTCAAAAACAATCTCAACCCCATCAACACTGTTTCCGTTTTGCAAATTATTCTTCGACCTTCTACA